ATCTTCGAATGAAGATCTTCATATTTCACCACTGTAGTTATATATGTATTATCATTTCTATCTTCTGCCTTCAAAAGTGAAGAGGGAAATGTGCTTGGCAAATTTACAAATATATTTCCTTCTGTCCGTTACAAAGCCTTAATTTATGGCAAATAAAAAGCGAATAACTAGATTAAATGATGTACATTTTTATTATTGAAGACATAAAACATAGATGTTCTCAAGCCATTTGAAATACGAATAAACAGCCAAGGATAAAACAATGTTTAATAACGTGCTCTAACTGCAACCCAAAGAAAGCTAGATGAAGCAAAGAGCATATGTAAAACAAAATTACATAATAACATACATAGAAACATACGCTTTCGTACTACAATAATATAAGTGTTAAAAGCTAACGGAAAGCTAAATAAGGCTCTTCGCTTTGCTAGGAGCCGCTTTGGAATCGTTGTATTCGTTATAAATTCGAGTTTCGATTGTCATGAGTGGAAAGCTCATTCGATATCTATACACAAATCGGTGTTATTTATGGATGATTGAGCCGCATGCTGATTAGCCAAAGAAACATTTGTCCCTTCCGAATCGTTTTCGATATTTAACGCGTGAAAGTACGGCGATTCGGGCTCTTCTGTCGAATTGGGCGTTTGAGCGTCTATGAAGAAGTCTGTAAAGTAAATATGAAATATCAAATTAAAAGATTTAAGTCTGAGTGCAGCTTAAGAGTATATATGAAATATACCTGATAATGTATGAACACTTAGTTTAGCTTTTGTATTATTTATAGCCAATTCGTGAGAGTGTGTGAATGCGTGTGCGAGTGATTAAAATGCAACATCGTGTAATACGGGTGTAGTGGGCATTATTTGCACTGTAAGAAATGTTTGGGTAAATGGGGATGGATCCTGATGAGGTGAATAGTCGGCGTGCTAGTGACCCAATTGGATCGTGTGCTATACTAACCAGATTCAACACCATTCCATTCGCTGACAACTGCATTATGTGAATGCGACTGGCGTGGATTGGGATGATCTTCGACGGAGCCTTCGTAGAGCTGCAAATCTGTAGCCAGCTGACCGTGCTCCGTCATTTCATCAAAGTCAAATATTTCAGTCACTTTCACGTGATTGGTGCTATTATCAGTGTAGTAGTAGGCATAGAGGGCATCATTATGCGTGCTCATCTTAAGAACATGTTCAAAGTTATCAACATCGACATTCAGTGGAGTGGCGCCGCTGTAAATTTAAAGCTAAAGTTTATGCCAATTAATCTTGATATATCTACTATTCTACAAACCATTCATCGACCAATATTGAGACGCGCGGTCCGTACAAGCGACTGGAGTGCAACAATCCAGTTGCATCAAAGTGTGGCGTATCGTAAAGCGTGAATTTACTAAAGAGACGATTTTGAATTGCATTGTGCAACTGGGAAATCACTTGTCGCATTTGTTTAGTTAGCTTCGGGGTCAGACTGGAGATTTTATATACGGTTGCCAGCAAAAAGTCCATTGGCACTGTGGCTGGTAGCGAGAGTAGCTTGAGGCCGCGATGCCTAAAGATCCAGTTGGCCAATCCTTTGTTTGCCTGCTCAATATAGTCCTGTATTACGTCTAGCACAGTTTGCGGCATGTTTGAGGTCAAAGCGTCCTGCAAAACATAACATTCAATAAGCAAAGCATATTCATAATTAATCAGAGGATATATAAAAACAATTGCATTGATACTTACTTTTCTATGCTTTTTGCATTCATGGCACTCTGGATCGAACTCTGGGGGCTGCGCAACTGTTTCGGAGACAACAAAAGTCGATTGAACAGCAATGCAGCGCCTGCAGTTGATTAGATTATTGCGGTGCAGAAACTGAAGGGCGTCGTCGAATCCTTGCTGGCAAAATTTTGAAAGGAACTCGGGGCGGGGCGGAAATAGAATTCTAACAAATCGATTGACGTTCTGTCGAGAGATTTCAATGCTTGTGTTTGCCCAGTTAAAGTGAAATAGCTGGGAGCTTTGGTCCCGAGGACAAATGTCGCTCTCGCCGCAGAAAGGGCTGACTGTAATAGTGTTCTCATCAAGGATGGGCAAGTTATTCGAAAAGGCACCATCCATGTAACGCACACCTCGGAATTTCGGAGGCAAAATGCCCGAAAAGCCTGGAATAAAACATGCACAGAGCAGGGCCTGCAGCACCTCCTCACGAGATTCAAACTGTGAGATTATAACATTTTGGCCATCATAGACGCTGGTCAGTGAAATATGTAATCGCCCATTCACTCGCAAATGTGCATCCTCGGGCAGGTGTTTCTGCAAACCCTCGAGCAGACACGTCTGTATGTTGAATGAGGGACTGAAGGGGCCCAGCGAGTGACGACGAGCCTCGTTTACTACCCGGAAAAAATCAGATGTCATGCTGCCAAGGGGCAAGTCGCAAAGCAGACAGCATGCCGCCAAGGAGCCTGCAGATGCACCTCCAATTTTCTCCAACAGCAAATGTGGCGCATAGTTCTTAAAACACACGGCCACACCGACATGATAAATGCCTAGAAAACCGCAACCAGCGAAAGATAAATTCATAATTCACTTTCTTTCCTTTTTTTCAGTGCGCTTGTAACTGTCGATAAATGAAACTTTATTTTTTTTCGCTTCTACTTCCACTTGTATGTTGATCTTTGCTCGCTAATATATATACTGTTTTTTTCGCAACGTAAATTGTTCTGATTCTTTGTTTGGGAACAGCTGATCTGTGGCAGTTTTACAAGTGCTATCGATACATTGGAATATGTACCTGTGACTGTACAAAATATCGAGTAAACAAGTATCGATAAATTATTAGCATATATTATTTTTTTTTTTAGCTGACCAATAAATACTAAACTTTCAAATATGTGTTAACTCTTTCAATTTTATTTCGCGTTACTCCTGCCTTGATATTCCCATGCAAAAAATATTTCGCACCTAAATTAAAAAAGAAAAAACAACACAAATCAGATTTACATTATTTATAAAAAATACAAAATTTGGAATATAAAAATATATTGCATTTTAAAATAACATATTTAAAATTTAACAATTGGACAATTTTCACTGCTTAAGTTAATTAAGATCATCGTGCAAGAATGCATGCGTATTAAGTTTTACAAATTAAAAATCATTGTTTAGTGTATTTTGAGGCTTTGCCACCAAGTGGCACAACATCAGCGAATGGAATGGATTGCTCCTCGGCAAAAGCAAGAAAATCTACGCCGTAGTGTTGGATGAGCTTAGTGAGCATGTCTACGTCCGCCTCCGCTACATGGGCATTAACAGCCGGGCACTCGAATATACGGTTATATAAATTTGATAACTTGTAGAGACCGCGGGGTGGATAACGTTTTGTGGTGGAACTGTTGAGTCCAGTAAACAGTTGACGTCGTGCTTTTATTACGTTGGATGACCTCTTGATGGCTGGCAGCTCCGCGTCTTCGGCTTCCATACGCTGGCGTTTATGTGCTGCATCTTGACGGTTCAGAATTTGGCGCTTAGGCGTGCTTTCGTTTACAGCCTCCCAGTTGATTTCTTTTGTGGTAACAGGTAACTCAGTTGAATCGCTAGCAGCATCAACAAGCTCGCTTCTGGTCTCAGTTGGCAAAGCACTCTCCTCAACGACTAGCTTATCATTTCGCTTATCGTCAATGGCCATGAAAGCGCTCAGTGAATCAACGCAAAGTGTTGAGGCTGGCAAACTGATATTGACCTTCTCAAGCGCCTGCTTAATAATGGGAAAATCAAATGGCCAGCCATTATGCGCAACTAGACATACGGGAGGGGGCAAGTGCTCCAGGAACCTCTTTATAAGTTCACCTGCATTGTCATCCAGCTTTGACTCCCGCTCCAAAATGTAGTTGCTTAAGCCTGGAATAAATTGGCACAAAAAAAGCTTATCAGTCACATGAATTTCCCGCATGAGTCACTTAGGCTGCTGACCTGTAATAATTTCTGCTTCCGGATGCACAAGCATTGACGGTTGGAATAGTAGATTCAACTTGTGCATCACTCTTGGTCTCACGGGCAGAGCATTGAGTACCGGTTCATCTGCTGGGTTGGAGTCCTTTGTTCTCGTATTATTCATTAAAATAGCAGCATCAAAGGCATAGATGCACAATTCCGTGATGCTAACACGATTATTTCTATGCTCAGGCAAATTCGACGTTTCTAAGTCCAACACTGCGAATGTCGAGATTGGCTCCCTCGGCTCATGATGGTTGTCCACAGGAATATTTGGCGACATTGCAATCGTGGGTAAATTAAGGACCCTTAGAAGCAATTGGAACAAAAGATTATTGTGAAATAAGTGTTTGAGCATTTTCTCATTGTTAAATTTAATATTAATTTCGCTTTACTTATACCGTGTCTTTATATATATGTACTATTTTGAAAACGTTGCACTTTAACAAATGTTTTAAGCAATTGTAAATATAAATTAAGAACGACCATCCGCATGCAACAAAATATATCGACCAGCCACCACAGTTTAAAAAGATTCGAACTCACCAGTAGTGAGTCCCCACACAAAAAAAAAAAAAAAAAAAAAAAAAAAAAAAAAAAAAAAAAAAACAAAAACAAAAAAAAAACGGTTTGATGGTTATAGGATTTCAGAGTTAGAGCTCGTTATCTCCACTTCTTAAAATTGATTAATTAGGGAAAATGAGACAATCAATATTTTATAACTGATTTGTAACTGCGCCGCCCTTTATCTAGATTAATCACCTCTTGTTATTGAAATCACCTAGCAATAACTTTATTAGATTATCTTTTTTTTAAACATTGTAATTAGAAAAAAAAATGATCGTGCAATCTTTGTCTTTTTAAACAGTGTACTCACAAACAGTAATACACAAATACATAAGAAAATTCAATCATACATATATAAATACGTGAAGGATTTAAAATCCCTTCGTGTTAAGAATTTCTAAATAATGACACATTATATTAAAATGGATATTCGAGCGAAATACTTCGTTTTTTATCATGGCACGTGAACGGCACAAGGAGAATATATGGCTAAAGATCACCACTGTTTGACTTGATGTCTTCAGATTTCGCATCCCCTACCCCATCCAGTCTGTCAGCACGCCGAGTTGTTGAAAACTGCAAATAGTCCATGCGTGTAGCCGCCTCATATTCCTGTACGAGGCCGTCAACAATCTCACGGGACTCGTCTAATTCTGTTAAATCATCCTTAAAGATATCCTCGCGTCGAAATTGATCCAGAAAAGCGCCACGTTTCCGCAGCTTGTCATACTGATTCAGAGTGCGCTCAAACAAAGAGCAAATGCTCGTGTGATTGGCCAACATCAAGCCCGAGACACGATGGTTGCTTTGTACATATGGCGAAGAGCGAGACAGTGCCACCTGTATTGAGGTGGGTCCCCATGGAATAAACTGCGCCAACTTGCGCTCCCTTATACGCTGCAACGATTTGTGCACTTGCGTGGGGTCCACTTCGCCCTGTATGATGTTCAGTATCGAGATATAACAGTGATGATTGGTTTTGTCGGGGCCAGTCGACACCATCATGTTCTTTGGTTGCAACAGACGCCGCATCACATCCAACACAGTTGTCTTCCGCACGTTGACAGGCTGCTGCGAGGACAACGGATTATGCTAAAAAAAAAAATATTTTTCATTAAATCGTGTATAAATGATGTTCAGTAGTGCAGTACATTTACTTGACTGCTAAGGTTAGCGTCGCTGGTCAGCGGTGTGTAGCCCGTCATGAGGAAGTGCAACTGAGGTGTTGGTATCAAGGGGGCCGTGAGGCCAATGAGATTGTTATTCATATACGATGGATAGCGTAGCGTTGTGGTGCTAACACTCATTATAGTGGAGACTAGCGTATTGATCTGTGTAAAGGTTGGATTCTGTATATGCAATCGGTCGCACGCTATACGATTTAAGGCCGTATTGTCCAGGACAACTACACTGTCCGCAGCGGTTGTTAGACGTCGCAGAGTTAGCATCGAGTTGTAGGGCTGTACTACAACATCACTTATTTCGTCCTGATTGGGAAACACGCTGTATGTTTGGATAAGTTTCTTGGGGTAACGATCGGCTAACCGTTCCATCAGAAATGAGCCCATGCCCGAACCAGTACCTCCTGCAATCGAATGGCATAGCACAAACCCTTCAAGTGAATCACTTCCATCCGCTTCGCGATCGATTATATCAAATATTTCCTCTTGTAATTTATCGCCTTGGCTATAGCCAGATGCCCAGTTATTACCAGCGCCACCACCATGCTTCGACAAGTAAACATTCTCTGGATTGTAAAGCTAATAAAAATAAAAAATGTTTTCATAATTTTGTAATTTAAGGCTCTAAGTAATGCTTACTTTGGAATAAGCAGAAGTCATGATGGTGTTAATAACGCGCGGCTCCAAATCAAGCAGTACCGCTCTTGGTATATAGTGATCATCATCCGCTTGATAGAAGAACACATCCTTTCTATCCATGCCATCGGTGGCAAATTCTTCAAGTACCCCACTAGGCGAGATGCCATGTTCCAAGCAGAGTCGTTTCCAAAACTCAAAGCCAACTAAAGTATCGTTTGAGAAAGAATTTATAATTATTCAACAAATGGCAGAAATTGCACTCACTTTGATTTCCACATTGTCCCAACTGGAGCGTAATTATTTCACTTGGCATTTTTACGAGATGCTGCTTCGATTATGCCTGCTAATGCGGGTCTTTGCAAAAACCTGTGCTGCTTGTGAGTTTTGTCGTTGAATATCTATGTTCCCAGTTAAATTTACATGCACATAACACTGAAAACACTGCAAATTGTTAACAAAACAATGTGTTAATAGGAAAAAACTTAAATAAAAGATGCAGCGGGTAGTGCAGAAAAAACAATCGATAGCACAATCGATATTGAGTAAAGGTATTGTGCCGCAACTTTGACCAAATAATTGGTATTGTCTTATCGATATCTCAATCGGTATGCTAATCATAGATGGTGAACTTAAACTTCAAAGCTCAAAATTACATTAAAAATAAAAAACACAGTAAAAACGAAATTCTACAGAAAAATTAAATTTGTACTTCTAATTAATATAACTTTTTGGGGAAACAATTGTTTGCCATGCGCTATCGATAATAGCGATGATTTGACTGTCAGCTTCACGCGGGCAAAAAATGATACCGGCTTGGGATGGTATTGCCATTGCCCGCGCAGAGTTCATGGTCGGTAGTTGTTTTTGTATTGTCTGCATATTAAAAGTAAGCAAAAAACGAAAACGAAAACGAAAACAACGCTTCTATAGATTTTGCGATCCACTTATTTAGCTACGTAATTTCTCTAGCTGTGTGTAAAAAAGACAGAACAACACTAACATGCCTCGCTCGAAAACTGCAACAAAACAGCAGCCTGCATCAGAGTTGTCAGCAACAAATGGCAACGATGGAGCATCTGAGGAGGGGGTCGCTATTATCGACGCTGCTCTCAAACAACCAGCTAAGAGCAAAGCGCGCGGCAAGAAAACATCAAATGAAACGAATGATGGCGATGTGAACGATGCACGGGAGGAAACGGAGGTTGTTGTAAAGAAGTCTACAGCCAGATCCCGAAAGAAGCCGGTTGAAAAAGCAGAGGCTGCTGTGGTTGAGGATGCAGAGCCACCCAAACCAAAAGGACGCGCTAAGAAGATGCCTACAGAGGTAAGTGATGCGGTCAAGGCTAAAGCTAAAGCCACAAAGCCGCGCGCGAAAAAAGAAAAAACACCAGCGCCTGAAGAGCCTGAAGTAAGCAAGGGACGGGCTAAGAAATTGAAAACACCCCTAAACGAAACGGCCGCTTCTATTGAGCTGCCGATCAAGGAGGAGCCAAAAGCGCGCGGTCGCAAAAAGGAGGCAGAGAAAAAGGAGAGTGATGTGGCTGAAGCAGACAAGCAACCGGAACCAGCTAAAGGACGTGCTAAGAAGATTTTAACTGACATTGCGACCAAGGGAAGGGCAAAAAAAGTTGATACAACTACTGATATAGTAGCAGAAGCAACAACAACGGCTAAACGTGTGCGTGGTACAAAGCGCTTGGCAGATAGTGAAATTTCTGAGCTGGTAGAAGCAGATGACGACGAACCAAAATCTGAAGCACAAGTCACAAGCAAGAAACGCACCAAATCAGCAAAGGTCAATAATGAAAATGTTGACGCTCCTGCAAAGAAACGCGGCAGGAAGGCAGCAGCTGATGAGCCACAGCAGGAGGTGGCCAGTGATGAGGCGCCAGCAGCAACCAAGAAGCGTGGCCAAAAGAAAGTCAACGGCAAACTAGATGAAGAAGAGAATGTGTCAGAGAACAAGCCAGGTAAGCAATCGAACGGGCAGGATATAATGATTCAAATTGTTGATTCATTTCCAATCCACAGCACGCGGCCGCAAGCGAGCTGCTGTTGTCGCCGAGGAGGACGGTGACGCCATTGCAGTCGATGAAGGTGATGGCTCAAGAAGTACGTTGACGGAGCCCGGCTGTGGCACTGCGGTTTTGAAAAGTTTGCAAAATGTGCTCAACTTTTGTCTTCCAGCGTCCAAGGCCAAAAAGCAACCAACACTAAAGGTGGGGGCCTATGATAAAAGTCAGTTCACATCGCCAACGGATCGGGCATTCAATTTGAAAATCTCTAGCTGGAACGTGGCTGGTCTGCGCGCCTGGTTAAAGAAAGATGGATTACGATTTGTGGAGTTTGAGCAACCGGATATATTCTGTCTGCAGGTATGCAGCATATATAAATATTAAAAGTGCTAACCAGGTATTCAATATGACAAATGTTTTCGTACTTAGGAAACAAAATGCGCTAATGATCAGCTACCGGAGGAGATGGAGCGTCTGCCCGGCTATCATCCGTATTGGCTGTGCATGCCCGGTGGGTATGCAGGCGTCGCGATCTACAGCAAAATAATGCCCATTAATGTGGAGTACGGCATTGGCAACAAGGAATTCGATGATGTGGGTCGCATGATCACCGCCGAGTATGAAAAGTACTATTTAATTAATGTCTATGTGCCGAATTCGGGACGCAAGCTGGTTAACCTGGAAATGCGTATGCGCTGGGAGCAACTATTTCAGGCATATGTCCAGAAATTGGATGCCCTCAAACCAGTTGTCATTTGTGGCGATATGAATGTTTCGCACACCGAGATCGATTTGGCTAATCCAAAGACAAATACACGGAACGCCGGCTTCACCAAGGAGGAACGCGAGAAGATGTCTGAATTGCTGGCCCTTGGCTATGTAGACACCTTCAGGCACCTGTATCCCAAGCAGACTGGTGCCTACACTTTCTGGACCTATATGTCCAATGCGCGTGCCCGCAACGTCGGCTGGCGTTTGGATTATTGCATTGTCTCCGAGCGCTTTGTTTCACGCGTCGTGGACAATGTGATGCGCAGCCAATGCATGGGCAGCGATCATTGCCCTATTACTGTCTTTTTAAATGTTTAAGCCCATACAACATGCATAAGTACATGCATATACACATATGTATGAATTCATTTTTTTTTTTTTCGATTTTTCAGTTAAAAGTTGGTGTTTTGTTTTCGAAATTGTTTTCTAATAGTTATTTTTGAGCAGCATTTTTATTTGCATTAATCTTTCGCATACTATTATTCTGTCCCTCTCTCTCTGTTTTTTCGTTGTTATAATTAATTCATTGGTATTCAATATTAATATTACATTCATATATACAAACATATTACATTCTGTATTTCAAATAAAATTTAAAGTATAATAAATTTAAGTACTCAAAAATGTTCGACACGCTGTATAATTTAGTTATTTTCGACAATTTTATGGCAGTTTAGGCACAGTTATGACCCATCATCAACAGAGATGGCTTTTAACTGCTAACGGTATTTTTTTTAAATAGCATTAAACAAAATTGCAAAAAGAATATACATACATACATACATATGCTTTCATACATGCTTGTAACCATGCCATACAATACATGTATGTATGTGTATGATTAAAATAAATACCGGTGTGCCAGCAGCATTGCTTGTGAATACATGCGCATTTACCAGTGAAAAAGACACTCAATCGACACTCAATATACATATGTACATATGAATATACACGTACATTCGTATGTATACGAGAGCACTAATAAAGAGTAAGGAAAATTATGTCTTGTGGGACATTTTGCAACATTGCATCATATTATTCACTGTTAAGAGATTCGGTATGTTAGGAAAAGCGCAGGCTTCTTGCATTTAATGTTAACTAACAGTATGCATCAATCGTGCACTGCTAAATTGCATAGCTTCGTTGAGAGAGTACAGAAGCTCTTACAAATTTGAGGAGAGCCTTCTGTTAATTTTAATGTAAAGTGTTAATTCTGTTATTTTATTTGAAATGCATTCGGAGCGCACTCGATCAGAGATCTGGTAAATGTTTTTTAGTAATCAAAATAGTATTCTGACAATTTGTTAAAAAGGTTTACCATAGTTTGCAATAATAATTAACAAGAATTTATTAGAAGATAAACATATGTGAATCACGTTTTGGTATATTTAAGAGAAATTCTACCACTGAGACTGAGGAATACACGTTGGCAGCACTCTGACCTCTTTCTAAAGAGATGGTTACAAAGGCATCATTTGCTTTAATTGAATTTAATTGATATTTGCTTATGTTTTTGTTATATTTATTAAATAACAACAATTTATGCTATACTATAATAGTTAACGGTACAATACAAATATGACTTCCGCCTTTATTAACCGTGTTAAACGTTTGTTTGCTTATGCTTATTGTTTATTGTGTGTGTGATTTGATCGTTTAGTTGGCATTGTTCTATACTTTAGAAATGAATATAATTATGTAATCCATACTCAACTGTCCCAGTTTATTTTGTGTTGATTTAGTAAATAAATGTATATGAAAAATTAAGCGCTCGTTTCAAATTAAAGTTTTTGTTTTCGCTCAAAAAGACAGAGTCGAATAAACTCTAACGGAAAATCGCTAGCAAGTTGTCCGTTGAAAATTCATTGAATCGCATTGCATTGCATTGCTCATTATACTTATATCGTGTTGTTTGGGCTACGTCCGGTGAACGGCATGTGCCCCAATCAGGGAGTGGAGGGCAGCCTCTTGCCCGACTGTCACATTGCCAATCGTGTGTTTATGTATTCCGTGTTGCACTCGATGCAGGCCGAGGAGCGGCGCGAGGAGGAGGTGGATGCGGAGTTGCGCGATCGATACGAGGTGTTCCGAGAGGTGATCCACAATTTTCCCATACCGCTGCACGCCCGGCCCGAGGGCGCCTACGAGTACGACTACGTGTACGATGCATTGCAGCAGCAGAGCCAACGTGGGCGCCAATTGTCGGGCGCACAGAGCAGCACCTCCATGGAGAACAATGTCAGTGAATCGAGTGCCAGTCTATCCAGCATCGTGTCCAGCATCAGCGACAGTTCCAATCTGTCCGCTCGCTGCGATTACTACGAGGATGCGGTACGCAGTGCTCTTGCCCAGCTGGGCGGGGGCGGTGGCGGTGGCGGCGGTAGCGGCAGCGGACTGGCCCAGGACAAGGACTTCAAGGAGGACAAACAATTGCTAGACAGCAGCGATGAAACAAACTGAGTGATAGTGTACATACACGTAGGCTAACCATTATAGAAATCATATTATGTCCGTAGTAAAGTATTAACCAGATATCGTCTATCCTCATTATTTCCTGTGATTCGGGGTTTATTTGGCCAGCAAGTATGGCATATCCAGTAAAAGATGGGGTCGTCTTTATATCAAATATATCAATATATATCATTTTGCGTCATCATTATCAGCTGAGTCGATCATACCTTGTCCGGCCGTACTTATACATACATACATATGTGAATGCATACATACATTACTCTATTGATAGAGTTGGAACCTGAGAATAGAGAAAGTGCGTATATATGTGCATGTATGTGCGTCTATGTATCTGCTAGGGTATCTGCTAGTCATGCACTCCCATACAAAAACACTTTTACTTGTTGCTTTTATTTGTCAAAGCGCGATAAATGATGTTAATCGCAATGAAAGTAAAATTCACCATTAAACACAACTAAATGAAAAAAGAAAACAAATTAGCCTAGTACAAGCGCTCATACTATATGTTCCTATACATCTATGTGATTATACATATGCATACATATATACATACACATACCGCGTATATAGTTGTTTGAGCAATAAAACATTTTAATGTGCGTTTGTCGCGCTTGTTTTCATGCTTAAAAAAGTGGAACCGTCGCTCTGGTCACTCGGCCGCTTATCAAATCAAAATGATCTCATTCATAATATTTTATATTACAATAACAAAAAACCAAAACAACCAAATAGAGAGCAAGTAAAATTAACATTAATACTAAAGCACATAGAGGAAAGCTTCGGCCAAATGGAATGGTAAATGTGCGCTACAGCCAGAAGAACATTATTTAATTTGATTTTTTTTTTTTTAATTATATACAGTTTTCTAAAGATTTGCAAATTTGTAAAACGAAACATATGTATATGTTAAATTAAATAAATATTGATATTTTTGTTATTTATTTAAATTTGTACAACGAAATGAATTCATATTAACGCAAGCATTAGAATACAACTTTTATTATTTAACATACATAATTTAATTTAGTAGTTAACAAATACTAATAATTAAATAGTGTAACTCAATACTTTTAATAATATTATATTATGTATTTCAATTTCTTGTTTATTGATTTTAAATAACATGTACATAACTACCATATTTTACGGCATTAAAAAAGTAAAACTAAATAAATAAGATAAACTTCTCAAAGCATAATTACAGAAGATATTTATTAAACTTTCATATTGTCACTTTAATTTGAATTTCTTATTTAATTTAATAATAATATTTAATTTTCTGTATTTAGATGGTATATACTATAAGATCTCTTTGTCTTTGAATCATTAAGTTCCTCAATTAATTAGCTTCATTATTTAATAAATACAAATTACTTTACATTTGAGTAAAAATTGTATTATATATTTACTTAAATAGTTTTAATTTATTTTATTTTTTTAAATTATTTAGGTTTTTATTCATTGGAAACTGTGCTTAATTTTTTACACATCCATAAGCTTCAAGTGATTTTCTCTCAAATCTAATTGTAATTTCATTGTAAGTCATTTTGTGAAAAAGGCTTATTAGAGTATACTTTTTTTTTTTTTTTTTTTTTTTTTTTAAGTAATTCATTTATTATAATCATTTAATTTGAATTCATATTTACAACAAATGTGTATATAGCAAGCTGATAAATTAATTTAAGAACTTTTCTATGCAATATATGCATGTATATTTAACAAATTATTTACGATTACAAAGTGAAAAGTCGCATCATTTGCCTCGTATGCCCCGATCTGTCCATATATACTGTGCATTCAGCTCTTCAGTCCACAACAGTTATACATCGTATACAACTACAACTACAAAAGTTGTATATGCTTAACCACAGTTCTATAATATGTGCTCATCATTTGGTAAATAAAAACTGCATTCAACTAACTAATGACCGTTTGGCTGGCCATGCCAGTTGCTATGATCCACATATATCAAACATGAAGTACAAAGAGCGTGTCCGGATCGTATCGGAGCCAGAGCAAAAAAAAAAGGTAGACACGACAAAATCTGGAATTGAGACCAAATTGTCATAAAAATCAGTTAGTCAGTCAGTTAGTCAGTGGCAGCAGCAGCAGCTACCTGGCCGTACAAATTTCAGTTTCAGTTTTCGTTTTCATTGGGCCGTGCGATTCCGCGCCGTACCGTTTAGTCTAAAGAGTTTTGTTAACGCGCGCGGTTCGTCGGTTAATAGCAGAACTCGATAATTCATAAGTGAAGTGATGCCAAGTGGTTTCCTGCCTCAATAAGAATTTGGTTAAATCACACAAGTGTTAGGCGACGTGCTAGGAATTATGCACTCCTTCTATGCATTGTTCATATTCTGCAATATATTTGCAAGCATTCGAACTGAAGCCGGTGAATTTGGTAGGTAGCTAATATTAAATGGGCTATATATAAAATAATGCAGTTGACTGTAGGCACGTGAAATACATTGAACGTGAAGGATAATAAAGAATATATTTAGCAACATTTACAATTCATATAAAAAAATTCATATAAAGTAATTCTCTATTTTTTAATAAATTTTTAATGTTAATTATTAGTTTTTCAATATTATTTAATAAAATAATTTTGTATTGTATATATATTTTTTTTTTATGTTATGTTGATATTATAAAATTAGATGAATTTTAGTATTATTATTAAAATTTTTCTATAACTTTGTTCAATATATTTATTTATTTTATTTATTTAGTTTTTATTTTTTTTTATTAAAATTTTTTTTGTTTTTAACATTTATGAAACATTTATTTTCAATAGAGATTGCATTTCAAATAAGACATTACTGGATAAGTTTTTTGTAAATTTTTACAGAACAAATTTTACAGAAGAATTACAAATTTACAAATAAATTTATATTTTATTAAAATGTCTATTATGAATAAAATTGTATGACAAAAATTGCCAAGCTCTCTTATACGAGTATGAATTATGAATATAATTATATAAAAAATGGACAAATAAAAATTAATATAAAAGAGTTTAATTAGCAGTAAAAAAATAAAAACTATATTAACGTTTATGTTTTATAAGGTATACAATTTGTTTGTATTTTTGGCTATACTTATAATCTTTATAATTTAAAGATATTGAATACATATATGTAAGAATTGTAGATATTTAAAAATTTAAGATTTCTTTGAAAACCTTGCATTTCATTTTAAGATTTAAACTCATTCACTCCATTTGCGAAGTTTTTGTTTTTCAAATAGATTCCTAGTCTAGTCAGATCATAAACAAGATCCAATAATAATATTTAATGAAATATTTTACTGCTTGCTAGAGAAACTAGTAATACCGCCGACCTATGCCAAGCGAGATCTGAGCAGCGATGGCAACAGCAGCGCCAGCAGCCACTCGGTGTCCGCCCGCTCGTACCTGGGCCAGTCGGCTGGCACCTCGGAGTGCGCCTTCGGCACGGAGTGCACGCCCCTGCACGACTGCACGGCCATGATCTACGAGGTGGCCAAGAACTGCTATTATGGCGACAAGTCGTTGTATTGTGGCGGCGGCGAGGAGATGCCCTACGTGTGCTGTCCGAGCAGTCCGCTGGAGAAGAATCAGGTGTGCGGCAAGTCGTTGGTGCAGGGCCATTTCTACCGGGGACTCGGCTCGTATCCGTTTGTGGCGCGCGTGGGCTTCAAGCGTAAGTCAAATGAACGAGGTTATAAAAGAGAAGTTATATAAGGAACTCATTCAACTACAGATGTCAACACGGGCGCCTTTGCCTATCCCTGCGCTGGCTCGATCATTGCGCGACGCGTCATCTTAACGGCCGCCCATTGTGCTCTGGCCAAAGCCGAAGGCCATCGACTGTAAGCCATGTCCATCTATGTATATCTCACTTTATCCACTTCCCATAAATATCTTTCACTTTCCCTCGCTCAGCTCATCGGTGCGCGTCGGCGAGTACGACACCTCCAGTGATCCGGACTGCGCCAGCACTGGCTTCTGTGCACCGCGCTCAGTGAATCATGCCATTAACCATGTTATTGTGCATCCCGACTACAAGCAAGGCCAATATCATCATGACATTGCGCTGCTGGTGCTCAAAACGCCGCTCAATTACTCGGGTAAGCGCTTGAGAGGGGGACAAACGGTGTCAGACAGTCAATGGAATGGGACGTGAGAGAGAGAAAGAGAAAGAGAGAGAGAGAGAGAGAGGGCCAGGGGTCGCATTGCTGGGGATCTCTGGTTACGCTTCGCAGTGTCAGCGTTAATTAAAAATCGTTTTGCTCTGTGATATTTCTTCTATTTTCTGCTGTTGTTATTTTCGACTCGCCAAGTTCAATAATGTCAAGCCCATATGCGTCGCATCGTCTCCCATATTGCATGTTTGCTAATTCGAGGCTAGGGGCGACAATTCGTATGAGAGAAGGGGCAAGGGAGCTACGGCAGGCTAATTTAATTGGCCAGCAACAAGCCACGCTCTGTGCTTAGTGTAGCAAATAATGAGCCAGGTTCCGATCTTAGATATAGTTCAATAGTTCTGGACTTTGAATTTCATATTCAAAACTTTACACTCGCTATTTATGGCACTAAAATTAGTGAGCGGAAATTTTTTTAATATAAAAAATGTATATAGAAATATGGTCATGGTACAAAAATATTAATTATTGTTAAAGATTTTATAAATCAGTAGCTTCGAACAGGGAAATTCGAAATACTAGGAATACAGTAATGTATCTGCACTATGAACCGACTTTACTTAGGGAATCTTTAATAAAAATTCATTTACGCGTAAATTTCCAAGTTATTTTTGGTAAATTATAAAGCCATAAGATTTTCATCCTTATTAAGGCGAACGTACTATGAAAATTGCCTTGCAATTATTTGATATATAATTTAAAAGAGATATTTCTCCAAGTTATCTGAAGGGTTTTCGTTCTGTTTTTTGTGAGATATTCGCACGAATTCAGAAGGAAAGCATAAATCTAAATTGAATTTTAAAGCGTCAATATCATTGCGATCTGAACAAATAAGGGGCATTACCGGCCGGAGTGGAAAGCAAACCCGTAAGCAA